TTCCATGTCCAGTTCTAACTGTTGCTTCCAAAAAGCTTGATAGATATACAAAATTCCTGAAAGTTTAAAAAGTGAAACTTGAATTTTCCTAATCTACCAGCAACAATTTGCATAGTATTTACATTGTATTTACAACCATTTACATAGTATTTACATTGTATTAGGTATTGTAAGTAATTGAAATAAGATTTAAATTATATCTTAAGGGAGCATGTACATAGGTTATAAGCAAATATTTAGCAGTATTATGTAAGGGTATTGAGCATCTGAGGATTTTGTATCTGAGAGGCTCTGGGCACCAATTCTCTGTGGATACCAAAGACTGCTATATTGTTAGACAAAAAAGATTGTTAGACAGAATTGGTTAACATAATTGTCAAATACATAAATCTTCTCCCCTGGGTGAAATCTATCCTCTTTTGTATTGTTTTCACTCTGGGAAGCATTTCACAGCATTTTAAAAGGAAGCTTATGTTGGTGTGTAGATCTCTTGACAGGCATTTCTAGTCTCATTTTATCTTCAGGCATCAAGGGCATCATAGGTTCTAGTTCCCAAATGTCACAATGTGCAGAGTGTCAGTTCTTGAGTGTTACATGGTACGGAATTTATCCATTGAACCAGCCTCTCCTTCACAGTATCTATTGAGCAACAAATATGGATCAGGCAAAAGAAGCTAAAGATTTGAAAAACACAGTCCCTGCCTTAAGAATGTCTCAGTCTGGTGGGGAGAGTAGGAGGTGCTGGAATGGGGGCAGTCGGTGACAAAGTTGCCGAGAGCCTGGGCTCAGCCGCCCTCTTGCTGGGCTGGAATTCTGGCTCTGTCATTATTTAGTCTCCCTGTGGTTTAGTATCGCCCCCTGTAAAATGAGTACACATCACATAGTAACGTGTGTAGACAACATGTGTTGGTTGTAGTTATTATTGAGTGTAGGGTGCTTGGGGAGCTGCTTCCACAAAAAATCCCTCTGGTTTATCTGAGTCAATTCAGACACCAATTCCTTCCAAACTGAGCTCTTGATTACATTTACTATCTAGGATTTCCTTCCACTCCTGATCGTGACTCTAGTAAGAGTTGTTATTTCACACTGCTTTCCCTGACAAGAGTCTTATGCCCTCAGATGCATCTGTCAGTCATCCCAGTCACTAATTTGAAAATCTTATATAATTGTCTTTGATCATCTCCCTCCCCTGTTCAAAATCTTCCCTTGGCGATGGCCAAGGGATGATGGTCTCTGTTTTGCTTCAACCACTATATGCCTGACACGGAGCACGGAAGCTGTCTTGCTGGGGGCGGATGCCCCTGGGGCCTGATCTGTTCTGTGTCCCCCTCGTCCTCACACGGGAGGAGTCTTCATGTGGCAGGCGCCATGTTACAAGTTATCATCTTGTGTCAAAAGCTAGTGTGCCATTCAGAAGCCTTTTTTTTTTTTTCGTCCCCCAGTTTGTAATGGAGCCAGGCCTTTTACAGGGTCAAAAATTTCCATTTTCTGAGAATGTAGCCAAGGGGTGAGTCTGAGAGAGGTTCCCGGGACATACCAGAGCCCAGTCCTAGCCTGCCACCATAGAACGAGGTCTCTGTTACAAGTTATCTGGTACAAGTTTGTCAGCAAGGAAAGCACTTCAAGTGAAGACACTTGAAAATGTAAATGAGATATGAGCTTTTAGGTAAACTCTATTAAGAATAATTATACTTTAGAAATGTCTGTCTAAAATAGTCTCTCCAGATTTTGGTAACCTGAATTTCTAGGGTTGTGCTAAACTAAGTGACGGAAGTTTATTGAATAGCTAGGTCATTTCCATATAAAATAAGATTCTGTAACATTCATTTCTGAACACTAACTTCCTCTTACAGAGGAACTAGAGATTTTGGACCATTAATGAATAATGTTTGATGCCATCCTGAGATGTTCTCTAGAATTTTTTAAAGAAATTATCACTGGTATTTATGTTCACCAGTCTACAGAATGCTAATATAAAGGTCCGTTCTTGGTTGCTTAAGGAAAGCAGGATGTGTGTTTTCTGTAAAGAAGGTATGAGGAATGAAATTACATTTTATGAAGGGAAAAGGAAGTAGGTCTGACTTACAGGTGGCTGTTTCAGGA